AAAAAAAAATGAAAATTTAATTGGCCGTGGGACTCGAACCCACGACCTTGCGGCTCGTTTATCCGCATAACTGCCGTCTGTGAGGTCAAAATTATTATGCGCATATGTATGCCAGATTATATGCATAAGCTTTGCCGTCTGTCACAGCTTTAATGTTACAACAACTTTATAAGTTCATGGGGTTGTCATACACAGCAAATTAGGCACTAACTTATGTACAGTACGAAATTCATTTGGATAATTCAAAAAAAGGTATTAAAGTATTAAAATTATTAAAAGTAATAGTACAAGTGCAACTTAATATTTCAATGTAATTCAATGTAATTGTGATCAGCCCGAACATTATTAAATAATTTGACTTTACCTTTTTAAACAGGTAGCAGCTTTCTTTAATATTGTAAATATTCATCCTTAGTTTGATCTTACCACCTTTTTTTCACGTCATATGTTATTATTTCATTTAACTTATGCATACTTTAATTAAATTCTAATTTTGAAACAGGTGGAAACCCTATTCAAAATATTTTAAAACGAAAACCTTGTTTAGCCTTTTTCGACGGACACACATAATTCGATACATATTTAAATTGTGTATCTAGTTCTCTTAATTCAAGTGAATTAGCTTTCTAAAATCTATGGCAACCCTCTTAAATAAAGTTCAGAAAAAAACATGTTTAAGTCATGTCAATTTATACCCATACTTTAATAATTCATTTGACTTGTTAAATAATTTCCGGTGGAAACCCTCTTTAATGATATAAATGCTCAAACTAAATATTTCTTAATACTCCTTTGTTTGACGCCAATATTTCAATATTTTATATCACTTAATTTAATTCGATTTTTCCTTTTCAAATTATTTTTAAACCAAAATTTTTTTCGTCTGACATTTGTATCGTGATACAAATATAAATTTTCCAATACTATCAATTCAAATTCAATTTAATTATAAAATCAGGTGGCAGTTTGGAAATAAAGTTTCTTCAAAGCAATTTTGATTTAATTTCATATTGAAGTAATTTATTTAACCTATTGCTTATGTTGAATCTAATTTTGTAACAAGGTGGCAACCCTCTGCGAAATATTTTTCAAACCAATACTTTATTCGTCTGACATCCATATCAGGATATGCATTTCAATTTGCTGCCTTTATTTATGTCGAACTTACTTTTTGAAACAGTGGGCAACCCTACTACATACTATTAAGAAATAAAGCCTTTTCAAACCCATTTCGATAGATACGTATAGTGTAATAATTGATTTAACCTAAAAACAATTTGAATTTAATTTTTTGTATCAGGTAGCAACTCTTTTTGAAAAAGTAAGAAGACATTGCACATACAGGACAAGCCCTTCAATTTGATACCTCATTTTGTAAAATCGAACGAAGGGTACAGATCTGATATGACGAACAAGTTTTCGCGTATTATGCATTCATGTGTACATACATAGATTACTAAAAGAAAAACAGATCCACATTAACTCAATCCACATATGTACGTATGCATGTATTTACATACATACGCTGCGATTAGCTTAAAAATATTGCGCCATCTGATACTCAAAAGCCGAAATACCTACACACACATAATTTTTGTCTCCTCTCACTTCCAACGCATGCACCATGATTCAATAATGAAAGGTTTGCTCAGAACACAGTTTCACAGTTAAGGGAGTGTCAAAACTCGAATGTCAATAATGAGCGAACCTTTAGTTATTGAATCATGCGCGTGCACGTGTTTGCAAAATGATGACAAAGTGGTTTTGTATGGAAAATCATTTATGCCCATATATTTGAATAAAATAAACATACCTAAAAGATATCAACCAATACTTCCCATATACCAAACGATAGGAAAAACCTTGAATTTTTGATTAAAGAAAACAAATTGCTGAAATTATATAATACTTGTACACGAAAATATTTATCTTGCTCCAAGGAACCTATATCCCGAAAATGAAAGTTATATCCGCAAATCATAAGTTGCTAGAGTACTTTAGAGTCTCAAATTTTATCCCAAAATAAGCCAATATTTATCGTTGTTTCTACGACAGAAACGGAATTGGTTACTTTCAAGGATATATGATGTCGATAGGTTTGGAATTTTTTCTTTGAAACGCCATACTTTTATTTGAAATCGCTTCATGAGTTCTCGTGCAACATACGTGTTCGTGAAGCTCTAAAAATTACAACTACAACATTTAAGCATTTAAGCCTCCACATCGAAACGTAAAACGTATTCTTCGTCAAAATTTGCTAAAATGAACGGAATGAATGGGCTGCAAAACTGCATACTCGGAATGTTTCTAAGAAATTTAATTTGTCCAATTATGCTAATTTTTGAACAAAGTTAGAAATTTTGACTTACATGGTTTTTGTTAGATATTATATTTTTCTTATCCATTATATTTTGGAGGGAATTAGTATTATTTTTTCTAATTTTACTAATTTAAGTTAGAATCATTTCATAAAAAAAAAACTTAACAAACAATTATAAAAACCTTTAAAAAATTTAGACAAGAATGATGGGCTACAATATAGCGAGAGTACCAGTTTAACAGAATAAAACATAACCACAGATCATACAAGATAATGATGCTGGCTACGTTTATGGCTCCCTTATATTCTATGTCCTTTGTGGTAACAAAAGTGCTGCCACGTTTGTGCGAAAAATTATTTTTAAGCCAGAGTACAGGGAGACTCCTATTAAATTAATAAAGAAAACACTGAAAATCGGGATTTAATCTGTACAAATATGAAAAATCGGGGCACTTTTACGTCCCGACCTTTAAAAAATATTCGGCGGGACAATTTTCTCAAAATCGGTATTGTCCTGCCAAAATCGGTACGAATGGTCACCGTAACTTTACACTAAGCACCGGAAAAGTGTTCATATATATTAACTATTAAATACAAATCATCATATCTGTGAATCAGGGACCGAACATAACAGCTATTGATGAAAACTGTCATGGAAAAATTCACTATGACGAAAATGTTCTACAACTAAGTGATACATACCAACCGATTTCTTTTTTCACCAAGACTCAAATTTGAAAAAAAAATTTGTTTGCAATTTTTATGCAAAATTAAAAAAAAAAATAACAATTATTTTTGATTTTTATATTATGTGTCTTAGATAACAGTTATTAAAGACTTTTACTTTTAAAAGTCATCATTATAAATCAGTCACCGACTTTTATTTTTAAAATCATTCGTATAAAAGTCACTAACACTTTTCGCAGTTAAGAAGGTGTTGGGAAACAAGAGTTTACTACTATTTATACAAATTTCTTTTATAAGTATGGTTTAAAAAATAAAGGTCAGTGACTGATTTTTGTTTATGACTTTTATAAATAAAAGTCTTCGATAACTGTTATCTAAGACATATAATTTAAAAATCAAAAATAACTGTTATTTGCAGATTATTTAGATAAAAATCAAATATAATTGTTATTTTCGATTTATAAAACAAAGGTCAGAAATAACGGTTATTTAAAGAGTAATTAAATAAAAGTCAAAGAATAATTGTTAAAAAGAGTTTTTTTTAAGGACAATATAAGTATGTACATATGTGGGGTTAAAAATTTGTATTTTTGACGCAAAACAATCTCAAACTCCAATTATATATTCCAATTTTATATATTAGATAGAAGCCCCACGATGTAGACCTTTAGAGAACAAACGGCCAAAATTGACTTACGTGTGTCGTTTTTTCAAATGCTCAGATTTATTGCTGTATACATATGTATAAGCATATCGAGCCCTAACCGCCAAAATAACGCAAGCGAAATTTTTTTCAAAATTTTCTTTTTGATGCAGAAATATTCCTCGATTATCTAGATGCATTTCTGCATCAAAAAGAAAATTTTGAAATAAATGTCGCTTACGTTATTTTGGCAGTTAGGGCTCGATATATTCATATTTTATTCATATGCATATTATTCATATATTAATAACGCACGTTTATACGTTTTTTAAGGTTGCAATTATAATATTTGATAAGGAGAAGATGTTCAGTGTAACAGATAACTAAACTCACAAAAAATTTCGAATAAATGTGTCGTTGCATCTGTTTTTTATACCAACTAACTATGTATATGAATTGGTCAAACTTTGTTTGCGTTTACTCATATGTAGGAAAGTTTTGAAATAATTCTCCTTGTTATTAAACATGCGATATTTTCTAACTGAGAATAAGATCCCCATTTTCACATTTTCCTATTGTGCTTTTCCAGACGTCATCACTGTACCTCAAGTGTGAAGCAAACAGATACTATTTTGGAGACTACAGGTAATATTTAATATTTACAAACATCTCTGTTTTTGCTAAAAAAAATTGCAAATATTTACAGATTTGTTGGATGAGTCAGAGGCACGTATACGTTCCAACACTTGGTCTAAAAAAGACCTTGAAAAATCTCGTTTAAAACTATTATATGATCTCGGTGATCAAGCCACTTTGATTAAGCCGGTGGATAATTTAAAACCTGAAGGAGAATTTACAGTTCCGGAAAAAATTTCATTCCAGCCATCACAGAGAACTAAAATTATAACTCGTAATGATAACCTGCGTACGGAAGGAGAAATGACCTTTACCGAAAAGGAGGAATATCAGTATGTAACAAGACCTGTCCAAGTTAGGCCTATCGACAACCTAAAGCCTGAAGGTGAATTCTATGTGCCAGACAAGGCAAAGTACCAACCAGCAGAAAAATCTATTCAAATAAAACATAAAGATAATCTAAAGCCCGAGGGAGACTTTTATGCTCCTGAAAAGCAAGGTTATCAGCCCACTGAACGTCCATTACAAAAAAAACCGAAAGATAATTTAAAACCGGAAGGCGAATTTACGGTCCCTGAAAAGATTCCATATGAGTCAGCAGAACGGCCAACGCGAATTAAAAGAATGGATAACCTTCGCACCGAAGGCGAAATGACATTCGAAACCAAAGAAGAATATCATTCCATTGTAAGGCCTGATCAGGTTAAACCTACTGATAATCTAAAGCCAGAAGGAAAGTTTTACAGTCCGGAGAAGCCCAAATACCAGCCAGCCGAGAAACCAACGCAAATCCGGCATACAGACAACCTTAAACCCGAAGGCGAGTTCTACACCCCTGAAAAGCATAGTTTTATTCCTGCTGATCGTCCAACGCAGAAACGACCAGAGGATAATTTAAGACCTGAAGGTGACTTTTACGCCCCAGAAAAGCCAAAATTCCAATCAGGAGAGCGCCCATCCCAAGTAAAATACGCAGATAATTTGCGACCAGAAGGTGAATTTTACACTCCCGAGAAGCCTGAATATAAGCCTGCCGAGCGTCCAATGCAGAAAAAACCAGAAGATAACTTGAGACCAGAAGGCGAGTTTTACACACCTGAAAAGCCAGGATTTAGGCCAGCGGAACGCCCAATGCAAACGAAGCCAGAGGATAACTTACGACCCGAAGGTGACTTCTTTACTCCCGAAAAACCAGGATATACACCTGCTGAACGCCCCACACAGAAGAAACCAGAGGACAATTTGCGGCCGGAAGGCGAATTCTACAAACCAGAAAAAGTCGGCTTCCAGCCCGCAGAGCGCCCAACACAAAAGAGGCCGGTGGATAATCTAAGACCCGAAGGTGACTTTACGGCACCAGAAAAGATCCCATATAGATCTGCCGAGCGGATTGAGCGTGTTATAAGAAATGATAACTTGCGCTCAGAAGGCGAAATGACGTTTGAAACAAAAACGGAATATCAGTTTGTAATAAGACCCGATCAGGTGAAACCTACTGATAATCTTAAGCCAGAGGGAGAATTTTATACTCCAGAAAAACCAAAATACCAACCAGGAGAGAAACCAATGCAAATTCGGCACATAGACAACTTGAAGCCAGAAGGAGAGTTTTATACTCCCGAAAAATCTAGTTTCATACCTGCTGAGCGTCCAACTCAACAGCGCCCGGAAGACAACTTGAGGCCAGAGGGTGAATTTTATGCCCCAGAAAAACCAAAATTCCAACCTGGAGAACGTCCATCGCAAGTAAAATATGCAGATAATTTGCGACCAGAAGGTGAATTTTACACACCTGAGAAGACAGGATTTAGGCCCGCCGAACGCCCAACACAAAATAAACCAGAGGATAATCTACGTCCAGAAGGTGAGTTCTACATCCTTGAGAGGCCGACGTATCGGCCAGGGGAACGCCCAACTCAAATCATACCGGAAGACAATCTGCGACCTGAGGGTGAATTCTACACTCCTAAGAAGCCTGGATATAAGCCCGCGGAGCGACCTGTACAGAAAAAACCGGAAGATAACCTGAAACCAGAAGGTGAATTTTACGCACCTGAGAAGCCAGGATTTAGGCCTGCCGAACGCCCAACACAAAAGAAACCTGAAGATAACCTACGTCCAGAAGGTGAGTTCTACACCCATGAGAAGCCAAAGTTTCAACCAGGCGAGCGCCCAACTCAAGTCAGACCGGAAGACAATCTGCGACCTGAGGGTGAATTCTACGCTCCTGAGAAGCCTGGATATAAGCCTGCAGAGCGACCTGTACAGAAAAAGCCGGAAGATAACTTAAGACAGGAGGGTGACTTCTACACACCTGAGAAGCCAGGATTTAGGCCCGCCGAACGCCCTGTACAAAAGAAACCTGAAGATAACCTACGCCCAGAAGGTGAGTTCTACACCCCTGAGAAGCCGAAGTTTCAGCCCGGGCAACGCCCAAATCAAATCAGACCGGAAGACAACCTGCGACCTGAGGGTGAATTCTACGCTCCTGAGAAGCCTGGATATAAGCCTGCAGAGCGACCTGTACAGAAAAAGCCGGAAGATAACTTAAGACAGGAGGGTGACTTCTACACACCTGAGAAGCCAGGATTTAGGCCCGCCGAACGCCCTGTACAAAAGAAACCTGAAGATAACCTACGCCCAGAAGGTGAGTTCTACACCCCTGAGAAGCCGAAGTTTCAGCCCGGGCAACGCCCAAATCAAATCAGACCGGAAGACAACCTGCGACCTGAGGGTGAATTCTACGCTCCTGAGAAGCCTGGATATAAGCCTGCAGAGCGACCTGCACAGAAAAAGCCGGAAGATAATTTAAGGCCAGAAGGTGACTTCTACACACCTGAGAAGCCAGGATTTAAGCCTGCCGAACGCCCAACACAAAAGAAACCTGAAGACAACCTACGTCCAGAAGGTGAGTTCTACACACATGAGAAGCCCAAGTTTCAACCAGGCGAGCGTCCAACTCAAGTCAGACCCGAAGACAATCTGCGACCCGAGGGTGAATTTTACGCTCCTGCGAAGCCGGGATATAAGCCGGCGGAGCGACCTGTACAGAAAAAACCGGAAGATAACCTGAAACCAGAAGGTGACTTTTACGCACCTGAGAAGCCAGGATTTAGGCCCGCCGAACGCCCATCGCAAAAGAAACCTGAAGATAACCTGCGTCCAGAAGGTGAGTTCTACACCCATGAGAAGCCCAAGTTTCAACCAGGCGAGCGTCCAACTCAAGTCAGACCGGAAGACAATCTGCGACCCGAGGGTGAATTTTACGCTCCTGAGAAGCCTGGATATAAGCCGGCGGAGCGACCTGTACAGAAAAAACCGGAAGATAACCTGAAACCAGAAGGTGACTTTTACGCACCTGAGAAGCCAGGATTTAGGCCCGCCGAACGCCCCACACAAAAGAAACCTGAAGATAACCTACGCCCAGAAGGTGAGTTCTACACCCCTGAGAAGCCGAAGTTTCAGCCAGGGCAACGCCCAACTCAAGTCAGACCGGAAGACAATCTGCGACCTGAGGGTGAATTCTACGCTCCTGAGAAGCCTGGATATAAGCCTGCAGAGCGACCTGTACAGAAAAAGCCGGAAGATAACTTAAGGCCAGAAGGTGACTTCTACACACCTGAGAAGCCAGGATTTAGGCCAGCTGAACGCCCAAAACAAAAGAAACCTGAAGATAACCTACGTCCAGAAGGTGAGTTCTACACCCATGAGAAGCCCAAGTTTCAACCAGGCGAGCGTCCAACTCAAGTCAGACCGGAAGACAATCTGCGACCCGAGGGTGAATTTTACGCTCCTGAGAAGCCTGGATATAAGCCGGCGGAGCGACCTGTACAGAAAAAACCGGAAGATAACCTGAAACCAGAAGGTGACTTTTACGCACCTGAGAAGCCAGGATTTAGGCCCGCCGAACGCCCCACACAAAAGAAACCTGAAGATAACCTACGCCCAGAAGGTGAGTTCTACACCCCTGAGAAGCCGAAGTTTCAGCCAGGGCAACGCCCAACTCAAGTCAGACCGGAAGACAATCTGCGACCTGAGGGTGAATTCTACGCTCCTGAGAAGCCTGGATATAAGCCTGCAGAGCGACCTGTACAGAAAAAGCCGGAAGATAACTTAAGGCCAGAAGGTGACTTCTACACACCTGAGAAGTCAGGATTTAGGCCTGCCGAACGCCCAACACAAAAGAAACCTGAAGATAACCTACGTCCAGAAGGTGAGTTCTACACCCATGAGAAGCCCAAGTTTCAACCAGGCGAGCGTCCAACTCAAGTCAGACCGGAAGACAATCTGCGACCCGAGGGTGAATTCTACGCTCCTGAGAAGCCTGGATATAAGCCGGCGGAGCGACCTGTACAGAAAAAACCGGAAGATAACCTGAAACCAGAAGGTGACTTTTACACACCTGAGAAGCCAGGATATAGGCCCGCCGAACGCCCCACACAAAAGAAACCTGAAGATAACCTACGCCCAGAAGGTGAGTTCTACACCCCTGAGAAGCCGAAGTTTCAGCCAGGGCAACGCCCAACTCAAGTCAGACCGGAAGACAATCTGCGACCTGAGGGTGAATTCTACGCTCCTGAGAAGCCTGGATATAAGCCTGCAGAGCGACCTGTACAGAAAAAGCCGGAAGATAACTTAAGGCCAGAAGGTGACTTCTACACACCTGAGAAGTCAGGATTTAGGCCTGCCGAACGCCCAACACAAAAGAAACCTGAAGATAACCTACGTCCAGAAGGTGAGTTCTACACCCATGAAAAGCCCAAGTTTCTACCAGGCGAGCGCCCAACTCAAGTCAGACCGGAAGACAATCTGCGACCCGAAGGTGAATTTTATGCTCCTGAGAAGCCTGGATATAAGCCTGCAGAGCGACCTGTACAGAAAAAGCCGGAAGATAACTTAAGGCCAGAAGGTGACTTTTACACACCTGAGAAGCAAGGATTTAGGCCGGCCGAACGCCCTATTCAGAGGAAGCCTGAAGACAACTTGAAGTCAGAGGGTGTGTTTTATACTCCACAGAAATCGGAATATGTCCCCGCTGAACGTCCCACTCAGAAGAAACCAGAAGACAACTTGAGGCCGGAGGGGGAATTCTACATACCAGACAAGCCTGGCTATCAAGCAGCAGAGCGCCCAGCTCAAAAGAAACCGCAGGATAATTTGAAACCAGAAGGTGAATTTTATACTCCTGAGAAACCCGAATTCAGACCGGCAGAACGTCCCAGACAAAAGAAGCCAGAAGACAACTTGAGGCCAGAGGGTGAATTTTATAAGCTCGAAAAGCCTGGATTCCAGCCAGCAGAACGCCCAGCGCAAGTCAAACCGGAAGACAATTTGAAACCGGAGGGTGAATTGTATACGCCAGAAAAACCCGGGTATCAGCCCGCAGAGAGGCCACTTCAGAGGAAACCTGAGGATAACTTGAGACCGGAGGGTGAATTCGCTGTTCCAGAAAAGATTCCATATAAGCCAGCTGAAAAAACTGAGCGAATAATACGGAAGGATAACTTGCGTTCTGAAGGAAAAATGACATTTGAGACTAAACAGGAATATCAGTTTGTGATCAGACCAGAGCAAGTGAAACCCCTTGATAACCTTAAGCCGGAGGGAGAATTTTATGCTCCAGAGAAACAAAAATACCAACGAGGTGAGAAACCTTTGCAAGTTAGGCATGAGGACAATTTGAAGCCAGAGGGTGCGTTCTATACACCCGAGAAACCGGAATTTATCCCCGCTGAAAGGCCAAGTCAAAAGAAGCCAGAAGACAACTTGAAGCCAGAAGGAGAATTTTATTCTCCAGAAAAACCTAAATATCAGCCAGCAGAGAGACCACATCAGAAGAAACCGGAGGATAACTTGAGACCTGAGGGGGAACTTTCTGTGCCAGAAAAGATAGCATATAAGCCAGCTGAAAAGATGGAGATAATAATACGGAAAGATAATTTGCGTTCAGAGGGTGAAATGACATTTGAGACTAGAGAGGAATATCAGTTTGTTACCAGACCGGACCAAGTCAAACCTACTGATAACCTTAAGCCGGAGGGAGAGTTTTATGCTCCAGAAAAACCAAAATACCAACCGGCTGAGAAACCTGTACAAGTTAGGCATGAAGACAATTTGAAGTCAGAAGGTGAATTCTATACCCCTAAAAAAGCAGAATTTAGGCCCGCGGAACGACCTAGTCAGAAGAAGCCAGAAGACAACTTGAGGCCAGAGGGACAATTTTATACACCAGAAAAGCCTGAATATCAGCCCGCAGAAAGACCTCATCAGAAGAGACCGGAAGATAACTTGAGACCTGAGGGAGAATTTACAGTGCCCGAAAAGATAGCCTATAAGCCAGCTGAAAAGACGGAGCGAATAATACGGAAAGATAATTTGCGCTCAGAAGGAGAAATGACATTTGAGACTAGAGAGGAATATCAATTTGTTATTAGACCGGACCAAGTGAAACCTACTGATAACCTTAAGCCGGAAGGAGAATTTTACTCGCCAGAAAAGCCGAAATTCCATCCAGGGGAGAAATCATTACAAATAAGACACGAAGATAATTTGAAACCTGAAGGTGAATTCTATGTTCCTGACAAGCCAGAATTCAAACCGGCGGAACGTCCCAGTCAGAAAAAGCCGGTAGATAACTTGAAACCAGAAGGTAAATTTTATACACCGGAAAAGTCTGGTTTCCAGCCAGCAGAACGGCCACTTCAGAAGAGACCAGAAGACAATTTGAAACCAGAAGGCGAATTTTATGCGCCTGAGCGACCGGAATTCAAATCCGCGGAGCGGCCAACTCAGAAGAAACCGGAAGACAACTTAAGACCAGAGGGCGCCTTCACTGTGCCTGAGAAGACCCCATATAAACCAGCTGAAAAAACGGAGAGAATAATTCGGAAAGATAATTTACGATCAGAAGGGGAAATGATATTTGAATCCAGAGAAGAATATCAATTTGTTTCCAGACCTGAACAGGTTAAACCCTCTGATAACCTTAGGCCAGAGGGTGAATTTTACACTCCGAAAAGATCGAAGTACATCCCCGCGGAGCGTCCTACCCAGAAGAAGCCTGAGGATAATCTGCGGCCAGAAGGTAAATTTCATGCTCCCGATAAATCAGAATTTAAGCCAGGGGATCGGCCCTCTCAGAAGAAGCCTGTTGATAACTTGAGACCAGAAGGCGAGTTTTATATTCCTGATAAACCATGTTATAAACCGGCGGAGCGTCCAACACAGAAAAAACCGGAGGATAACTTGAGGCCTGAAGGTGAATTTTATTCTCCGGAGAAACCCAAATTCCAACCTGGCGAACGCCCATCGCAAGTAAGACACGTTGACAATCTGCGACCTGAAGGCGAGTTTTATGCTCCAGAAAAACCGGGATATAAACCAGCCGAACGTCCCTATCAGAAAAAACCGGAGGATAACCTGAAGCCAGAAGGTGAATTTTATTCTCCGGAGAAACCCGAATTCCAACCTGGCGAACGCCCATCGCAAGTAAGACACGTTGACAATCTGCGACCTGAAGGCGAGTTTTATGCTCCAGAAAAACCGGGATATAAACCAGCGGAACGTCCCTCTCAGAAGAAACCGGAAGACAACTTGAAGCCTGAGGGTGAATTTTATTCTCCACAGAAACCCGAATTCCAACCTGGCGAACGCCCATCGCAAGTAAGACACGCTGACAATCTGCGACCTGAAGGTGATTTTTATGTTCCAGAAAAACCGGGATATAAATCAGCGGAACGTCCCTCTCAGAAGAAACCGGAAGACAACTTGAAGCCTGAGGGTGAATTTTATTCTCCACAGAAACCCGAATTCCAACCTGGCGAACGCCCATCGCAAGTAAGACACGCTGACAATCTGCGACCTGAAGGTGATTTTTATGTTCCAGAAAAACCGGGATATAAATCAGCGGAACGTCCCTCTCAGAAGAAACCGGAAGATAACTTGAAGCCTGAAGGTGAATTTTATTCTCCGGAGAAACCCAAATTCCAACCTGGCGAACGCCCATCGCAAGTAAGACACGCTGACAATCTGCGACCTGAAGGCGAGTTTTATGCTCCAGAAAAACCGGGCTATAAACCAGCTGAACGTCCTTCCCAGAAGAAACCGGAAGACAACTTGAAGCCTGAGGGTGAATTTTATTCTCCGGAGAAACCCAAATTCCAACCTGGCGAACGCCCATCGCAAGTAAGACACGCTGACAATCTGCGCCCTGAAGGAGAGTTTTACACACCTGATAAACCGGGGTATAAGCCTGCCGAACGTCCCACACAGAAAAAGCCACAAGACAACCTTAAACCAGAAGGCGAAATTATTATGCCGGAAAAGACTGTATTTAAACCAGCTGAAAAAACTGAGCGCATTATAAGAAAAGATAATCTTCGAACTGAAGGTGAATTTGTGTATAAAGATAAACAGACATACGAATTTGTCAAAAGGCCTGACCAAATAAAGCCAGTTGACAATCTGAAACCTGAAGGAGAATTTTATAAGACAGAAAAGCCTTCTTACAAGCCAGGCGTACGTCCACTAGTTAAAAAGCCTGAAGATAATTTGAGGATGGAAGGCGAGTTTACTGTGCCAGAAAATGTTTCATTTAAGCCCTCCGAAAAGACAAAACGTATTATAAGGAAAGACAATCTGCATATGGAAGGGGAAATGACATTTTCCAAAAAGGAGCAATATCATTATGTCAATAGGCCAGAACAAATTAAACCTTCTGATAACTTAAAACAAGAAGGAGACTTCTATACTCCGAAGAAACCGAAATTCCAACCAGCTCAAAAATTGTCCCCAGTTAGGCCTGAAGATAATTTGAGGCCGGAAGGAGAATTTTACACCCCTGATAAGCCAAGATATAAGCCGGCTGATACGGTCCGACGAGTTGTTCATAAAGATAATCTGCGGATTGAAGGGGAGATGACGTTTACAGAAAAGGAAAACTATGTCAATGTAGAACGTCCAAACCAAGTAAAACCAGAAGATAACCTCAGATCGGAAGGTAAGATGTATATTTCATCCGATAAAACAGATTCCAAAGAACTTAAAACTAAAGTGGAAAAAGCGGTAATCAAGCGCCCGGTAGATAACCTGAAACTTGAGGGCACTCTTCAAATTTCAAAACGAGATGACTATAACGAAAAGAGAACTTCCAAGCTGGATACATCTAAAAGTGTGCAGAAAACTACCAGAACAAAATACACGCACAATAAGTCGTCAATATCTCTTGGAGAGGACAGTGCCATTCTAAAGACAACAAATCAAATGAGCTTTGCTTCGGGCAAACAAGCTGTTCCGATGGCTAATATGAGTTCAGAAAAACCAGTCGATGGTTTGGTTGTAGTATCCACGAAAAAAGTTACCACTGTAATAGGTGGTCGCGTCAAAAAAGAACCGGAAACAGAGTATGTTAGACGACAGGGGAAAGTTAATGTCATCGAAAATATTGCAAAAACTAACAACGTTAAAAACATAGTCAACATTGAAAATAAACATGATGAATCAATTTCGGTGAAGGAAAATCGTTTTGCGAAGGAGAAAAAAGTCATGGATTCTGTTCGCGTTGATATTTCTGATCAAACGTTCACCTCTGCAGTGACTAACGGAAGTAACACAGGAAGTAGTTCAGAAAGAATTATGTCTAGTGGAGTGGTGGCGAATACCGCTGGTCCAACAATTTCCACACAATGCAATTTGGATAAACAGGAAAGCACATCGACACACATGAACGCTACCTCATCTAAAAATATTTCTGATCAAGCACATTCCACACAACACAAGACCATGTCAGCTGAAAGTGCATCAACGAAAATGTCATCAAGCTCCTCTGCTACCACTATGTCTAAACATTTCCATCATCGACGAAGCGATTTCACTGCCGACGCAAACATTACTAATTCAGTATTTCATCGAAAAACTGTTTCAAATGAGTCAAATCAATTAGGTAGCCTAACGTCGAATGGTAAGATTCACAGAAAGAGCATTCTGAATTTGCACGAGGAGCCATCCAGCTCAGTTTTTCCAAGCGAACGCCAGAGCTACAGTAGCATACATCGACAGAACAGGGAACAAGATAGCAGCGCGTTGTTGATGAGCGAACGTCGCCACTACAACACATTCGGCCAGTCGCAAAATAGAGATCAGACGTCAAAGTCTTGCAATATTTCTAAAACGTCGCCTTCCGGTGGTATCGAAATTCCCCCTTACAGTAAACATTCCGAAAGAATTGTAACACGAAGGAATGTGAATCAGTCATCTATATCTCTGGGGATGGATGGAATTTCATCCACCTCCTTGTATCGCAGTGAATATAAGACGGTTCCATCCACAACTTGTGCTATACACAAAATCAAAGAAGGTGCATTCCAACACACAAGAAATACGAACGAACATAAATTTTTTAAAACTGTCAAGAACTAATTAGGCTGTAAAATTTTAAGGGCATGTAAAAATGCGTCTTTGCATGTACGCAAAAAAAATTTTAATAAATTTTTCATACAAGCATATCAATGTTGTAACTCAAATATTATATTTACGTTCATTTATGTATATGCAGACAGACATATATATGTATATTAAGCAAGAGTAATTGCCACATAATTTAATAAAATATTCTCAAAAAATTTACCGCTATGGTATGTTCCACTATATTATCATGGCGAAATAAATAAGTTGAAGTAATTTGACAGCTTTCTATGTAAATTTACCGACCTTCGGCTATCTTACAAAACAATGTTGCTTTTCACATTAGACGCCGAGGTTGAAATTTTAAGGGGATATTGCATGCACTGTAAAATCTTTTTGTTTACAATTTTCAATTTTTTTAATTGAGTTAATTGTGTAAACACTACTGCAAATACATATTTATGCAATATGTATGAATTTAGAATTCCTTAAGAACAATTTGCGATTTGTTACTTATTAGGCCTGTTCGCCAGTACTAATTTTACTGGTTTTTTATCCAACCTGGTTTTCGTACGCAAAAACTTGCAGCTGTTCATAAAACTAGCAACTTCTTGCTGGTTTTGCGTTTTCGTACTTTCTTGCATATTTCACTCATTGGGAGTAAATATTGGCTTACTCTCCGAAATTTGGTTACTGGCAAGTTACTGGATATTTTTTGCTGGAGAATACGAAAACACAACTAATGTCATCCAATTTTGGCAAAACAAGTGTTCGCCCAGCGGTCGAAATTCAACCACTAAAACTAAGGGGAGTTGAGGTGAGTTGAGTTGAGTTAAGGCGAAGTGAGTTCAGGTAAGGTGAGTTCAGATGAGTTAAGTTAGGGTGAGATGAGTTCAGGTGGGGTAATAGCCCTGTTCGCGTACGCACTATCCAGTAAATCCAGTACTAATTTTACTGGTTTTTTACTGGATGTCGTTTTCGTACACAAAAACTTGCAAGAAACTAGCAAAAGAGGGGAAATTGAGAGAGCAAAAATTACAGCTGAACTTGCAAGTTTTACTGGATTTTTACTGGATAAATTTTTACTAGCAACTATTTGCTAGTAAGAAAAACAGCTGATGGCATGATGCTTATTGTAAATCACATCAAGAAAATAATTGTTTGTGGTGCTTTTAGATTTGCAATTGACAAAATATACCTATTTAAATATATAATAAGATGGAAAACACTAGTTTTCTAAGAAAATTGCATCGGAAAATAACAAATAAATCAGCTGTTCATAAAACCAGCAACTTCTTGCTGGTTTTGCGTTTTCGTACTTTCTTGCATATTTCACTCATTGGGAGTAAATATTGGCTTACTCTCCGAAATTTGGTTACTGGATATTTTTTGCTAGAGAATACGAAAACACAACTAATGTGAATTGAGGTGAAATAACATTGTTGAGGGTGAGTTAAGTTGAAGTGAAGTAAATTGAGTTGAAATTAAATGAGGATAGTTGAGGGTGAGGTAAGTTAAGGTGCATTGAGGTGAACTGAGAGAGAGCTGATGTGAAGTTAGCTGAGGTGATTTGAACATTGTTATGTTATATGAAGGGCTCAGAATCTCGGCATCTTCAAGTGAAAATGGTTAAGTTTTCTTTACGAGTCATGCAATTTTCTTTAAAATGGCATTCACTGGTTAGTGCATATTTTGCAGTAAATACATAGTTTTGCATATATTGCAAAAAGTTCCTGTTTCTGCATATTTATTGCGCATATTTTAATATATTTTACAATAAACGCAAATAGCTTTGCATATAACTGCCGTTTTTGATCTACAACCATTTAAATTTAGTGAGAAATCACTTGACAAAAAAATTACCTAAAATTTTGTTCAAAATATTTATCTGAATATCTTCTTGGATAGCCAAGCGGCTATTAAGGCACTCTCTTATACCTCTGTTAGATCTCAACTAGTGGAAAACTGTAGGAGAGAGCTTGCGTATATCTCTGATCAATACGAAACGAGGCAGCGGACGAACTGGCAAGTTGCGGCTGAATGTTTCCTCAAAAAAATTACCGAAATTTATCACTGGAGGGCCAAGGAAGGATCGTACAGGATTACTCTCTTAGGAATGAACAAAGAAGACACCCATAAACTTACTGCAGTGTACACAGGGTACTCCTTCGGTGGGGCACATGCCGAAAGGATTGGATTTCCCTTCAACAGAAGAATGGTTTAGAGTGTAGCTGCCTCTTCCTCTACGACGTGCTGAAATTTATTAAAGCCGCGAAAGGGTTGTAGGTGTATTTTATGTTATTTTATGTATGTTACCGCATAACTTTGGACCACATCAACCGATTTCGATAATTCTTTTTGCATCGGAAAGGTAGTTTCTCAGAGGTGGTCCCATACTAATCTGGTTAAGATCCGATCAGTGCATCATGAGATATACAGTGACGAGCAAAACTGTAACATGGTTTAACACTTTTTGTTTCAGCCACCGCTATATTTCCAAGTTCTAACGACATTCATCCTTTTGTTGAATATTCTTGTGGGTCATCCCTACTCCCTCTCTCATAATGATTTGAAGTCAATACAACAACAATAAAAAAGCCAGCAGACAAAAATGTAAATTAAGGCAGATGTTACAGTTTTGCACTCACTCTCAGTTTTGCATTTGACAGTTATCTCTTACTTAGTTGGAAGTCAGATGAATTTTTTCTATATTGTAATTTATTGAAGAAGTGATCACCAGTAAATAACATAGTTAATCAGGAACCATAAATGTAAATAATAGATTTACTGCGGAAAGGCGAAACCGACAAGTGGCGAAAAGTGGCAAAAAATTTTGGAATTTGCTACTTAAAAATGTTAGGACTAGACAATATATAGCCTAAAGTGTTCCCAAGGACAAAGGAAGTCTGTTAAAAAATATTACGGTATGATATCTTGTGAACTTAGAAGCAAGTAGCGATGCAGCCACTATTACAGAAGCGCTCAAGGTATTAAACTTTAATGCAAATCAATAGACAGCGAGGCAAATTGAGCGCAAAGGCATCTTAAAGAAGAAAAAAGCAAATTTGATCATAATACATGTGCGAGTGTGGCAGCATTTCGCTGCATCGCACGAAAACCGAACCGTTGCCTATTGGGATATGCTAGGCCGTTCAGAATGCAATAAAAAACATATTTTTAAGTTTCAATTGAAGGTTATTTGGTCTGACAAGACTAAATTAATCACTTTCAATCAGATGGCCGGGCATGGTATTATTAATTTACATTTTTGTCTGCTGGCTTTTTTATTGTTGTTGTATTGAGTGTTATCTTTTTCATACAAATATTCTCTATTGATTCTCTTTCGCGAACGAGAAGCATAAAATAAGTCTATATCGTTCGCGTTCCCGAATGTTAGGTAGAATGTCCACACTTGTTCATACGCGTATGGATTGGTAGACCAAACAGCGTGCGTTCATATATGTAGCTATAAGTATCGATGCCTTCGCGAACATTTACTGTCGTTCTCGTTCACAACTGAATGTAAATTCTGCGTCAAACATTCGCGGAAAGGTGATGTGGCTAGAGATACTATTCTATGCGAAGGAAATTTTGTTAATTGCATAAGATTTGCACCGTTTATTCAATTTCAAAAATGTTGGTGTCAAATGAAAGGGCTTGGCTTCTAGATCAGTGCCCGACAAAGAGAGAAAAGTCTTAAAAGGAGAATGTATTAGTTATGAAACAAAAACTGAGAATGTGTTGGTGGTAATGCACGGAAAAAAATTTCTGTGTTGTATTACTTATTATAAAAACTTTGGTATGTTTTTTTGCCGTTTTTTTCATCGCTATTTTTTAGATCTAAACAACATAGAAACATATAATGAAAGTTAACGATTCTAAGAAAGGAAAAAGTTGGAAAAATTTTGTATGTATTGTACAAAATTATTATTATTTTTTTATAATTTAAGTGTGGATTTCTGAGCAAAAAAGATAACGTGCTTCGAGCACTCTGAATATTAAAAGAAAATTACGTTGACTTCAAGTAGAAATAAAATAAAAATATATATATCTAATATATATTTATTTTAAAATTAGGTAAAACTTGACATTTAAGAACAATTTAAAATAACGATTAAAGCAAAAGATAAATAACAAAACATATTGTATGTTTTAATTGAGGACTAGTCTGGTATTAAAAAAAAAAAAATACATAATACATAATTCACAAAGTTCTTTTAATATGAAGAAAAAGTACGACTTGGTTCCATATAAATACCTATTTCTAGGGGTGTATGTACGAAAAATTGTGTTATAAATTTTTTGAATGAATATTCATTCATTCTGCTCAGTGTACCTACTTTATTCAACAATAATGCGCCATCAACCTGCTTCGCCTGTTGTTTGCATGCACGATTGAGAGAAATAGAGGTTGCGCCTATCACGGTACCGCTATTCCTCTCTCAGTGAATTTGACAGAATCGTTGTTTGTATGACGTCACACTTGTGCAACTTGTTTACGTTTTCCTTGTAACATTTTTTCTTCTTCTTCCATTCTTGCTCACGTTTTGACATTTATCTCTCGCAATTGCACCAGTGTGACGTCACACAAAAGTTATTCTCAAAAATCCTCTCTGATAGGCGCAATCTTGTATTCTATCATTCTTGGTTTGCATGCAACTAAATAAAATTTGTTGCTCTTCTACTTTTTCTGTTGACGTTCGGATTGTGTACGTGTAAGAAGCCGATTGTGTACATGTGAAAGGCCGAATATAGTTCGTTTCCCAGGAAAGTGTTTGGCGGGCACTGTTCTAGATGTGTAGTAAGGTTATAGCTCTGATCCTGTTCTCCATGAACTTACAGGTTTTTAGACGAACTTGCAGGAAGTTACAGGAAAAATGATCCCGTACTCCAAATTCCTCCAAACTCTGCAAATGAGAGCGATGTTGTTGAGAGTTCTGTAGAGAATGAAGTTGCAAGAGTTTACCCGAACTTTTTCTTCTGGTAAAATCATGAAAAGTGTCAAGCGATCACTGGTTGACGTTTTTACTAGAAAAATGCCTTTTTTGTTCATTTTGTTGTTACTCACTTTTAATCTCACTTCAGAGAGTAATTTTGCTGTTTGACATTTTTACAGGATTTTATATGAAAAGTATTGGATCAGAGCTTACATTTTTTAATAAGGTTTCCATCTGCTTTTAAAATTATGATATTTACCCCGTTCGCACGATTCTCAAATATGAGCCTCTTCGTTTGATACTGCATATTTGAAAATCGAACGAACGGTGTAAATATGATAATTGTAAAAG